GGGCGCGGGGGGGGGCGTGAAGGGGGTCTTCCTGCCCTTGAACAGGAACCTGGGGGGCACCGGGGGGGTCACCCCGCTCTGGGGACCCTCAGGGACCCCCCAGGGAACCCCCAATCCCAGGGAACCCCCAACAACACCCCTTAACTGCCAGACTGGGGACACTCAGGGACCCCCCCAGGGATGGGTGGCACCCCCTTCTGGGGACCCTCAAGGACTGGGGACCCCCCAGGGACCCCCCCAGGGATGGGTGTCACCCCCTTTGGGGACCCTCAAGGACTAGAGACCCCCCCAGGGATGGGTGTCACCCTCTTTTGGGGACCCTCAAGGACTGGGGACGCCCCAGGGATGGGTGTCACCCCCTTTTGCTGCCTCTCAGGAATATTGGGGACCCCCAGGGATGGGTGTCACCCCCTTTTGGGGACCCTGGAGGATTGGGGACACCCCAGGGATGGGTGTCACCCCCTTTTGGGGACCCTCAGGGATCAGGGACCCCCCAGGGATGGGTTTCACCCTTTTTTGGTGCCCCTCAAGAATATTTGGGATGGGTTTCACCCCCTTTTGCTGCCCTCCACCCCCTTTTGGTGCCCCTCAGGGTTATTGGGGACCCCCAGGGATGGGTGTCACCCCCTTTCCCTGCCCCCCACCCCATTTTGGTGCCCCTCAGGGTTATTGGGGACCCCCAAATGACAGCTACCACCCCATTTTGGTGCCCCTCAGGGTTATTGGGGACCCCCAGGGATGGGTTTCACCCCCTTTTGCTGCCTCTCAAGAATATTTGGGATGGGTTTCACCCCTTTTTGCTGCCTCCCACCCCCTTTTGCTGCTCCTCAGGAATATCGGGGACCCCCCAGGCATGGGTCCACCCCCTTTCTGTCGCCCCCCGCCCCACCCACCCCCTCCGGGTCTTGCTCTTCTCGGTGGTCGCGTCCTTCTCGTTCTCGCCGCGGGGCAGCTCCCGGGGGGCCGCTCCGGGGGCCGCCCCCGGGGGTCCCTTCTCGGCGGCCTCGTCCCCCTCGGTGCTGCGGGGCCCGGCCGAGCGCCGCAGCCGCTCGAACTCGGACAGGGGCTCGGCGGCGACATCCTCGGGGGGCTCCGGGGGGGGCGCCTGGGGCAGCGGGGTGGCGCCGGGCGTGCAGCGGAAGGTGGCGTGGAACTGCACCGGGAGGCTGAGGCGCAGGAACAGCAGCTCGGGGGGCGCCGCGGGGGTCCCGGAGCTGCGGTGCGACAGCCGCAGGCACGGCGGGGCGTCCACCGTGCCGTCCAGGCGCGTCACCTGCGGGGCACAGCGCGGGTGGCACCGCGGGTGGCACCTGGGGCACGGAGGGGCGGAGGCGGGGAGGGGTGGGACACGGGTTTGGGGGCGCCGCATCGCGTTTTGGGGGTGCTTCATCTCGTTTTGGGGGCACTTTACCCTGTTTTGGGGTGACTTCATCCTGTTTTGGGGGTATTTCACCTCGTTTTGGGACACTTCACCTAGTTTTGGGAGCACTTCATCACGTTTTGGGGACACTTCATCACGTTTTGGGGACACTTCACATTGCTTTGGGGACACTTCATGTCGTTTTGGGGGCACTTCACCCTGTTTTGGGGACATTTCACCCCGTTCTGGGACACTTCACCCTGTTTTGGGGGTACTTCATCACGTTTTGGGACACTTCACCCTGTTTTGGGGACACTTCACCTGGTTTTGGGGACATTTCACCCTGTTTTGGGGACACTTCACCACGTTTTGGGGGCACTTCACCCTGTTTTGGGGACATTTCACCCTGTTTTGGGACACTTCACCCTGTTTTGGGGTGACTTCACCCTGTTTTGGGGGCACTTCACATTGCTTTGGGGACACTACACATCACTTTGGGGACACTTCATCTCGTTTTGGGGACATTTCACCTCGTTTTGGGACACTTCACCCTGTTTTGGGGACACTTCACCTGGTTTTGGGGACATTTCACCCTGTTTTGGGGACACTTCACCACGTTTTGGGGGCACTTCACCCTGTTTTGGGGACATTTCACCCTGTTTTGGGACACTTCATCTCATTTTAGGGACACTCAGGGGTGGAGAATCCCCTGGGGATGGGTGAGACCCAATTTTGGGGACACTACACCTCGTTTTGGGGAAACTCAGAGACAGGGAACCCCTTGGGGATGTGTGTCACCCTATTTTGGGTGATGGGGACCCCAAACACCCCCAGGGACCCCCCTCATCTCAAGCTGGGGGTGCTCGGGGGGCACGGGGATGAACTGGGGCAGGCTGTGGCTGAACCAGAGGGCGATGGGGACCCCAACCCCCCCCAGGGACCCCCCTCACCTCGAGCTGGGGGTGCTCGGGGGGCACGGGGATGAACTGGGGCAGGCTGTGGCTGAACCAGAGGGCGATGGGGACCCCAAACCCCCCCAGGGACCCCCCTCACCTCGAGCTGGGGGTGCTCGGGGGGCACGGGGATGAACTGGGGCAGGCTGTGGCTGAACCAGAGGGCGATGGGCCGTTTCATGTTGATGGCGAAGGGCTCGTAGCCCTCCTGCAGGCCGCAGATGCCGAAGTAGCGCAGCGTGCCCACGTCCTGGCCCAGGTTCAGGTGGCCCTCCTGGCCCAGCCCCAGGCTGCACACGGGCACGAAGCCTGGGGGGCACGGGGGGGATCAGCACTGAGACCCCAGCCCCATCACAGACCCATCCCAGAGCCCCCAGCCCCTCCCCAGAGCCCCCAGCCCCACGTCCTTTCACCCTGTTTTGGGGACACTTCACCTGGTTTTGGGGACATTTCACCCTGTTTTGGGGACACTTCACCACATTTTGGGGGCACTTCACCCTGTTTTGGGGACATTTCACCCTGTTTTGGGACACTTCACCCTGTTTTGGGGTGACTTCACCCTGTTTTGGGGGCACTTCACATTGCTTTGGGGACACTACACATCACTTTGGGGACACTTCATCTCGTTTTGGGGACATTTCACCTCGTTTTGGGACACTTCACCCTGTTTTGGGGGCACTCAGGGATGGGGAACCCCCCAGGGATGGGTATCACACCATCTGGGGACACTTGGGGACTTTCAGGGACTCCCTTGACACCCCAAACCCCCCCCCAGGGACCCCAAACCCCCCCCAGGGACCCCCCTCACCTCGAGCTGGGGGTGCTCGGGGGGCACGGGGATGAACTGGGGCAGGCTGTGGCTGAACCAGAGGGCGATGGGGACCCCAAACCCCCCCAGGGACCCCCCTCACCTCGAGCTGGGGGTGCTCGGGGGGCACGGGGATGAACTGGGGCAGGCTGTGGCTGAACCAGAGGGCGATGGGGACCCCAAACCCCCCCAGGGACCCCTCCCCAGCCCTCACCTCGAGCTGGGGGTGCTCGGGGGGCACGGGGATGAACTGGGGCAGGCTGTGGCTGAACCAGAGGGCGATGGGCCGTTTCATGTTGATGGCGAAGGGCTCGTAGCCCTCCTGCAGGCCGCAGATGCCGAAGTAGCGCAGCGTGCCCACGTCCTGGCCCAGGTTCAGGTGGCCCTCCTGGCCCAGCCCCAGGCTGCACACGGGCACGAAGCCTGGGGGGCACGGGGGGGATCAGCACTGAGACCCCAGCCCCATCACAGACCCAGCCCTGAGCCCCCAGACCCATCCCAAGGCCCCCAGACCCACCCCAGAGCCCCCAGCCCCACGTCCTGGCCCAGGTTCAGGTGGCCCTCCTGGCCCAGCCCCAGGCTGCACATGGGCACGAAGCCTGGGGGACACGGGGGGAGTCAGCACCCAGACCCCAGACCCATCACAGACCCATCCCAGAGCCCCCAGACCCACCCCTGAGCATCCAGGCCCATCCCTGGTGCCCCTAGACCAATTCCTGGTGCCTCCAGACCTATTCCTGGTGCCCCTAGACCCATCCCTGGTACCCCCAGACCCACCTCTGAACCCCCAGACCCATTCCTGGTGCCTCCAGACCCATTTCTGAAGCCCCCAGACCCACTCCTCCTCCTCTCCCACCCCAGCTTCAACCCCCCCCTCCTCCCCCAGCCTGGGGGGGGTGTCACCAAGGCCAGGGACCCCCAGTCTGTCCCCCCCTCACCGTCGGCCACCTCGAAGTCCCTGAAGGCCACCTCGGAGCCGCCGTCCCCGATGAGCACCTCCCCGTTGAGGGTGAAGCTCATGTGGCACTCGCCCAGGTCGATGAGGCAGCCCACGACGTCCCCGGCCTGCCAGGGCCGCCCGAAGGACTCGCCCCCCACGTGCCACCGCTGGCCCTGGGGACACCGGGGACACCGGGGGTCACAGGGAGCCACGACGTCCCCAGCCTGCCATGGGTGGCCTAGGACTCGCCACCCATGTGCCACCCTGGGGGACACCAGGGGGTCACAGAAGGTGACCCAGGAGTGTCCCTGCATGTCCCCTCGTGTCCCTGAGTGTCTCCACATGTTCCCCGTGTCCCTGCCTGTACCTGCACGTCCCCAGGTGTCCCAAACAGGCTCTGTGTGTCCCCCGTGTCCCCACGTGTCCCTGTGTGTTCCCTGTGTCCCAAATAGGTTCTGTGTGTCCCCACGTGTCCCTGAGTGTCCCCACATAACCCTGAGCATCCCCGCATGTCCCCGGCTGTTCCTCGTGTCCCCCATGTCCCCGGCTGTCCCCGTGTCCCCCATGTCCTTGGCTGTCTCCCCGTGTCCCCACGTGTCCCTGTGTGTTCCCTGTGTCCCAAGTAGGTTCTGTGTGTCCGCACGTGTCCTTCCATGTCCCCGGCTGTCCCCCTGTGTCCCCCATGTCCCCAGGTGTCCCCCATGTCCCCGGCTGTCCCCCCATGTCCCCACGTGTCCCTGTGTGTTCCCTGTATCCCAAGTAGGTTCTGTGTGTGTGCACGTGTCCCCCATGTCCCTGGCTGTTCCTCGTGTCCCCCATGTCCCCGTGTCCCCGTCTGTCCCCAGCTGTCCCTGTGTCCCCGCAGGCTGCCGCCACACCCAGAGAGCCCAAAAACGGCACCCGGAGAGCCGCGCTCCACCCGGAACAGCCGCGGCCGGGGGGCGCGGGGACCCCCCGAGGGCACGCCCTGCGAGGCTGGGGGGGACAGGGGGGTCAGCACCCCAAAAACGGCACCCTGACATCCCAAATACAGCACCCAGAGAGCCCAAAAACAGCACCCAGAGAGCCCCGCTCCGCCCGGAACAGCCGCGGCCGGGGGGCGCGGGGACCCCCCGAGGGCACGCCCTGCGAGGCTGCGGGGGACAGGGGGGTCAGCACCCCAAAAACGGCCCCCTGACATCCCAAATCCAGCACCCAGAGAGCCCCGCTCCGCCCGGAACAGCCGCGGCCGGGGGGCGCGGGGACCCCCGAGGAGACACCCTGCGAGGCTGGGGGGGACAGGGGGGGCAGCACCCCGAAACGGGACATGGAACCCCAAAAATGGCACCCAAAGAGCCCCAGAAATGGGACACAGAACCCCAAAAACGGCACCCACAGAGTCTAAAAATGGGACAATGGAACCCCAAAAATGGGACACGGAACCCCAAAAACGATGCCCAAGCAACACCAACAGCTGCAGCCGTGGGGGCTAGGACCCCTCAAGGGGACACCCTGTGTGAGGCTGGGGGAGATAGAGGGGTCAGGACCCCAAAATGGGACACAGAGACCCCAAAAACTGCACCCAAAAGGTACCACCTGCTCCCAAATGTCCCCAAAGTGTTCCCAGAGTGTCCCTTGCTCCCCTCCTTTAGCCCCCCACTCACGTGTCCTGCTTGGGGACGGGTTTGGACTGTCCCGAAATTCCTTTCAAAGGCTCCCAAATGTCCCCAAACCCCCTCCAAAGCCTCCCAAATGTCCCCAAACTCCCCCCAAAGCCACCCAAATGTCCCCAAACTCCCCCCAAAGCCTCCCAGATGTCCCCGGGCGTCCCCCGAGCCCCCCACTCACGCGTCTCCTGGTCGGGGGGCTCGATGTTGTAGCCGTAGCCCAGCAGGGTCCGCACGGCCTGGCACAGGCTCTCGCGGTTGGTGGCCTTTGTCCCCTCGTCCAGCAGGTTGTAGGGGACCAGCCGCGGGTTCCGCTTGTTCTTGATGTCCTGGGGACACGGGGACAGCGGGCTCGGGGTGTGGGGACATGGGGACACAGCCATGGGGACACGGGGACAGTGGGCTCGGGGTGTGGGGACATGGGGACACAGCCATGGGGACACAGGGACACCGAGCTCAGGGTATGGGGACACTCCCAGAGGCGTGGGGACATGGGAACAGCAGGCTTGGGGCATGGGGACACCCCCAGAGGTGTGGGGACCCCCCCAGAGGTGTGGGGACATGGGGACAGTGGGCTCGGGGTATGGGGACACCCCCAGAGGTGTGGGGACACCCCCAGAGGTGTGGGGACCCCCCCAGAGGTGTGGGGACATGGGGACAGTGGGCTCGGGGTATGGGGACACCCCCAGAGGTGTGGGGACACCCCCACAGGTGTGGGGACATGGGGACACGGCCACGGGGACACCTGGCTCAGAGGACGGGGACATCCCCACAGGAGTGGGGACATGAGGACACGGCCACGGGGACACCTGGCTCAGGGGATGGGGACATCCCCACAGGAGTGGGGACATGGGGACACGGCCATGGGGACAGAGGGACACTGAGCTCAGGGTATGGGGACATCCCCAGAGGTGTGGGGACATGAGGACACGGCCACGGGGACACCTGGCTCAGGGATGTAGGGACATCCCCACAGGAGTGGGGACATGAGGACACGGCCATGGGGACACCTGGCTCAGAGGATGGGGACATCCCCACAGGTATGGGGACACGAGGACACGGCCATGGGGACACCTGGCTCAGAGGATGGGGACATCCCCACAGGTGTGGGGACATGGGGACACGGCCACGGGGACCAGAGAGCCCCGCTCCGCCCGGAACAGCCGCGGCCGGGGGGCGCGGGGACCCCCGAGGAGACACCCTGCGAGGCTGGGGGGGACAGGGGGGTCAGCACCCCGAAACGGGACATGGAACCCCAAAAACGGCACCCAGAGAGCCCAAAAACGGCACCCAGAGAGCCCCGCTCCGCCCGGAACAGCCGCGGCCGGGGGGCGCGGGGACCCCCGAGGAGACACCCTGCGAGGCTGGGGGGGACAGGGGGGTCAGCACCCCGAAACGGGACATGGAACCCCAAAAATGGGACATGGAACCCCAAAAATGGCACCCAAAGAGCCCCAGAAATGGGACACAGAACCCCAAAAACGGCACCCACAGAGTCTAAAAATGGGACAATGGAACCCCAAAAATGGGACACGGAACCCCAAAAACGATGCCCAAGCAACACCAACAGCTGCAGCCGTGGGGGCTAGGACCCCTCAAGGGGACACCCTGTGTGAGGCTGGGGGAGATAGAGGGGTCAGGACCCCAAAATGGGACACAGAGACCCCAAAAACTGCACCCAAAAGGTACCACCTGCTCCCAAATGTCCCCAAAGTGTTCCCAGAGTGTCCCTTGCTCCCCTCCTTTAGCCCCCCACTCACGTGTCCTGCTTGGGGACGGGTTTGGACTGTCCCGAAATTCCTTTCAAAGGAACAAAAACATCCCAACCCAATGGGAAGATCCCAACCTTGACCCGTTGGACATGGCGTACCTGGGGAGGGGGGACACACCTGTGGGACCCCCACGGGGCACCCCAGGACCCCCAGGGGGCACCCAGAACTGCCCCCAAACATGGGGAGCTCAAAGGTCTTCAATAGTCCCCAAACTGGGACATCCCAACTCAACGGGGACATCCCAACCCAACCTTGACCTGTTGGACATGGTGTACCTGGAGAGGAGGACACACCTGTGGGACCCCCATGGGGCACCCCAAGACCCCCAGAATGACACCCACCCATGGGGACCCCAAAGCTCCTCAATGGTCTCCAAACTGGGACATCCCAACCCAACTGGGACATCCCAACCCAACCGTGACCTCTTGGACATGGGAATGGGGGGGACACACCTGAGGGACACCCCCAACCCATGGGGACCCCCCCAGAAGCTCCTCCAGGACCCCAAAACTGCGACTTCCCAGACTGGGATGACCCCAAACTGGGATGATCCCAAACTGGGATGAGCCCAAACTGGGACAGCCAAACTGGGACAGCCAAACTGGGACTTCCTTTGAAGGACCCCAAACTGGGACCTCAAACTGGGATCCCCTACAGAGACCCCCCCAAAACGGGGACCCCCCAGCCCCCCCAAACGCACGTTTTGGGCAGTTTGATCTTCTTCAGGTTCTCCTCAGCCTTCTCGTCCGCCATCCCCACGTGGCAGCCCAGGGCCAGCAGCGTCCTGGGGACACCCCAAGAATCAGCACCCCCAAATCTCTGACCCCTCCTCAAAGCCCCCCTACCCCCGAGCCCATCACCCCCAACTCCAGGGGGCTCAGGATGAGGGGGGACCCCAAAACCCAGCTTGTTTTGGGGATACACCCCAAAGTGGGGGAACCCCAGAGTCTCCCCAGTCTGAGGTGAGGAGTGACCCCAAAACCATCTGAACCCCAAAACCCACCCAAGTCCCCCCCATCTGAGGTGAGGTGGTGACCCCAAAACCATCTGAACCCCAAAACCCCCTAAATCCCCCCAGTCTGAGGTGAGGGGGGACCCCAATATCATCTGAACCCCAAAACCTTCTCAAGTCTCCCCAATCTGAGGTGAGGGGTGACCCCAAAACGATCTGAACCCCAAAATCCCCCCAAATTCCCCCCCCAGTCTGAGGTGAGGGGGGACCCCAATATCATCTGAACCCCAAAACCTTCTCAAGTCTCCCCAATCTGAGGTGAGGGGTGACCCCAAAACGATCTGAACCCCAAAATCCCCCCAAATTCCCCCCCCAGTCTGAGGTGAGGGGTGATCCCAAAACCTTCTGAACCCCAAAACCCCCTCAAGTCTCCCCATCTGAGGTGAGGGGGGACCCCAAAACCTCCCCAAAGCCCCCTCAGAGGTGAGGGGAGACCCCAAAACCATCTGAACCCCAAAACC